AGTGCCAAACACGGCTGTGTACGCACTGCCATGGGTAGAACAGATGGGCTAGGCTGCCGCGATGACCTACATTCTCTTCCCCCCATGGCTTGGGGGGCTGGTCTCAATTCTCTGGCCACACCTGGCCCAAGGCAGTGAACATGGATGGATAAGCGGGCATCTTATCTCACACCTTCTTCCAAAAACAAACAAGGCGGACCAGGCCGAAGACACGAGTCCTCGTCCCCTTGCTTCCTGTGGTTGGTTGGTTCTCACTGGCTAGAGCCGCTGGTGTTGCTGATGACAGCACACTCCCCAGCAGCTGGAGCCCATCATTCTGTATCAGCTCTTGGCCTTGGTGGCTGCTGCAATAATATGTTGACGTCTGGTCACCCATTGGTCACCCCGGGTTCTACACCGACGGAGAAGCTAGATGGGAGAACGTGGCTTAGATCCAAAGCCTAAGTGTGCTCTTCTCCTCACCCCCCTTTTTAATTTTTTTATTTTTACTGAATTGAACCCCCATTCTTACCCTCCACCCTGCTCCAGTCATGGGGGTGGGGAGGGCAGCTGGTAAACTAGAGCAAGCCGTGTGCGCGCCCCTTCCCTTCCCCCCCATTCCGTCCCAGAGAAGAGAATGCAAAGAGGCCTCAGCCCAGCCACAGCAGACAGGATGGGAAGGCGCTGGAGACTGTTTTAGCCAAAGTCACCGCCCCAGGAGCATGAGGCCTGGGCCAGAACGATGTCTGGGGGACAGGACAGGGAGGAGCTGGTGGGTGGGGAAGGTGGGCACCTGATCTCTAGGGAGAAGGAAGTTCAGGACAGGGACACTGCTGGCTTCCCTCCTGTGTAAGGACCAAGAGGCCATGAGCTTCCCCTCCAAGGACCTCCCATCCCTAGAGGCACTGGGAGGGCTCTGCAGAGGAAGTGTGCCATGAAAGAAAAGAACCACATGATCCCACTCATTTATGGAAAATAAAGAGCATTATAACCTGATGAACAAAAAGGTAGACACAGAGGCAGTAAAGCACCAAACAGACTGTCAAATTACAGTGGGAAGGCTGGGGAGTGTTGGAGAGAGGGGTGGGGGAGGTGGGGAAGAGATCAATCGAAGGACTTGTATGCATGTATATAAGCACAACCAATGGACACAAGACACTGGGGGGGGGGGATGAGGGTATGTGACAGAGGGTAGGGGAGGCTGGGGGAAGGTCAATGAAGGGGGGAAAAAGGAGATATATATTGTGTAATACTTTAAACAAAATAAAATAAAGAGATCCCGTTCCCAAAGCAGAAAGTAATTCAAGCTCGCCCCTACGTCCTCGCAGAGGGAATCGTGGGTTCAGTTACCTGGAAATTTCTGAGCTTTGCTAAAAGCTCACTTCCCCAAACCAAAAAGTGTTTACATAAGAACTGCCAATCTTGCATGTTTGTCCTGACGCGGGGAAACCGTTTCTGCCTCCTTTCCCGCATTCTAGTCGTTAAACAACGGCTCCAAGCCAGCGCCCGCCAGAAAAACATCAGCGCGTCTGTTCGAGTCCAGCGACCTCAAAAGCAGGAGCATGAATGTCTCTGATCAAACCTCCTGCCACCCCTTTAACATTTCGGGTTCTTTTTGCCTCGGCGCCTCCGCAGTAACCAAAGCCGGGCGCCTGGCACATCCCGCAGGAGCGGACGTGCAGGGAGCTAGCGGAGCTGCTCTCCGCTGGCAGCCCCGTCCGAAGCCGCGTCTTTAACGCACATGCTCTGCCTTCGGATCAGTGAATAAGATGTATCCCCGGCAGAGAGGATCTGGGGAGCACATTTCCTTTTGTGGGCAGTGCATCCGAGTCCCTTGGACAGCAAGTGTTTGTTTGAAAATGCACGAGGCAGGGTCTCCGCCGCTCTCAGGCCCTAAGACTCCGGGAACGCGCTCAGAGGAGACTGGTGGTGGGAAGCCCTGCCTGCTATGACCCGCTCGGGCCGCCGGCTGGGACTCGGCTATGATTGCTTCCTGGGGCCGTGTCAACGTGAGGTGATGCTTATACACTTGACCTCCAAAAGGCACTCATTAGCGTGAGGCCCGAAGGGTCCAGAGCTTTGGACGACTCTTCACAACTAGACTCTTCCCAGAGGGAGAGAGAACGGAAGATTCTTGCTTGCTTTGCTAGTGCCCCTGGGCTGGCAGCATCCTCCTTTAGGATATTCACGGTAACGGCTCATGACAGTGGGCAGGAGACAGGAGTGTGCCTGGCTTTCTGAGACCCACGAAACTCCCTGTGGCTGCTTTCCTGAGAGTCTCGGAAGCAGACCTGGATTTTGAGGCCATTTCTATGAAGACGGCCTGGCCCTGCTGGGCGGTGAGAGCCCAGTGGCTGCAGGGTCGCTGGTACCAGAGGGTGTGGTCTGGGGCAAAAAGGCCTGGGTTGGACCAGGCTCTGCCTTTCTGCCCGCCGCCTGGTCACCCAGCCACGCCGAACCCCAGTCCTCCCATGGCTTCGGATGCTATTGTCTGTCTCTCGGAGAGACGGGAGGCCCAGCGAGATGGAAGCTGGAAGCTTTAATTCCCACCCCATGGGAAGTGGCCCAACACTGCTAGCTCGTCTTTTCACAGAGCCCACCAGCAAGCACCTGTCCAATTGGCTCAGGCCTTTGCCTTCAGTGGGGACCCTCCTGCGCCTCCCTTGGCCCCCAGCGCCTCCATGCGTTGCCCCAGGTGCAGCGCTGCCTGAGGAGACGCAGCCTAGACCCTCACCAGGGAAGGAGCTAGTCCCCAGCCCTCCTGTCTGGAGGGTGGAGCTGGCCGATGGCATCAGAGCCAGCGTGTGGGCACCAGCTCCCTTTCCTCGGGCTTGCAAAGGGCCGGGACCTGTACCAAGTGCCAGTTCTTACCCTGTGATTCCTGCAGGAGGTCACAGCCGCAGAGAGCCAGGGCCCCGGGCCAGGCCGCCTGCTGAGGCCTGAGTCCGCTCCTCCTCCTGGTGTGAGACTCTCTGGGCCCAGTGGCTTCACCTGAGAGGTGGGCTAGCTGTGGTCTCTCCGACCACTTGGCTGGCATCTTCTCACCGAATCCATCCCCTTTCAGAGCTGGACAGATGGCCCTCCGCCTGGTTCAGTTGTAACCCAGACTTCCAGCCTGCAACTTGGAACCCAACTCCCGAGGGCTGCCTCTGTGAAAACATAATGTCCTAAAAGAATCGTCTCCAGCTCCTCATTAGTATGTGTAAACTATTTATGTTGTCATGTTTGGAACACATGGATGCGCCTAAAATGTAAGTTTATTCTTCACGTTTCAACCAGCTGTTTTCTCAAAAATTGATTTCAGAGTGATGCGAACACAGCCTCCTGTCACAAGCCCAGGCCCAGCCACCAGCACAGTGAAGCCCACACTCCCAACAGGGGCCGAGAGGGTCTTGTTGGAAGAGTTCCCCTCCACACGCGGGACCCTTTCACTCATACAAGGACAAAGCCCTGGTCCCGGCAAAGCTCTGGGTAAAAACCCACTCTCTGTGGCCTTCCGGGCTTTTTAAGGTCAAAGCGTGACTTGTGCAGTGCCTGGGCTTCTGGGATGAAATAAAAGGTTTCCCTTTTGCTATGTGGGATTTCCAAATTTTATGTTATGGTTTTTCCTTGTTTTTGCTTAAAAATTAAGAGTGTGTGTGTGTGTGTGTGTGTGTGTGTGTGTGTGTGTGTGTTGGGGTGGGGACAGTCAGGAAGAAACAGCAAACAAACAAAAGCCCACGTCGGTGAAGCATAATCAGCTCAAGGAAGCAGGCCTTCTCCGGTGCCAAGTGACGCTTTCTATAACTGCAGCAACTTCTGATGCACTTGCCAATGTTTGTGTTATTTTTACTTTAAAGATGTAACAGATTGCCGCCACATAAATAATGTAAGCCTCGCGTTTCAAAGGCGTCCAAGCGCGTGTGTCTCTCGCTTCTGTCTTCTCTTCTGGGACGAAGCCGTGCCCAACAGAAGCAACCGCCGTGTCTCTAACACTCCATTTGGACTGTTGTTTTTTGTGTGTTGCATCTAGTTCTCGCCGTTCTGTTCCAAATGCCACAGGTTCTGTCACTGTTCTGCATGGAAGCTGTAACTCCGCTTCTACAGGAAGGAAGGGAATGAGCTCTATAGCTTGTACTTGTGATCTCGCAGGAAGGTCACCGGCTTGCAGGGGGAACGGGAGTGCTGGGGAGAGACCCTAACCCAAGTCCCGCAGGGGTCTGCCATTTCCATTTAGATTCACACTTAGACTTCAAGCCAGCAGCAATGGGTCACATTTTTCACACAGCAGCCTCAGTTTAACTTAAAATAGCTTAGACTTGGCAGATGGATTTCACACAAAATGATCCCATCCTCGATCAATTATTGGACTTTTCACTCTGTCGTGTGCCATTATGGTACAACTGAGAGAGGAGAAACAGCTATGTTAAAAAAAAAAAAAGTCAAACACCAATCTTTATGCTGCTCTATACTTCCTCAGTGTGGTTGAACAGCTCTTATAAACCAAAAACAAAGATATATATATAAAAGGCTAATATGCTAAGTGTCTCTCCAACTGTCTGACTGGTTGCTATAACTAGCACTGACCACCAGGGGGAAGACGCTCAACACAGGAGCTGCGGAGCTACAGTGATTTGGCAGCACCGGTTCTCAGGTGATGCACCCCGGGTGATTCCAACTTCGGTCATGGGTTATGTTGTTGCTGGGGCACTATCGTCCCCGAATCTGGTTTCCTGCACGCACACTTTTGTGTTTGCGTATGATAACTACTTTGCAGAGTGCTCTCTGGGACCCCTCAGGGGATGTGGGAGAGCTGGTTTTGACCCAATTCCCACAGGCCAGACAGAGGGACCCCGCTCACTCCACAGATGCTGGGGAGAGGCCACGGGAGGTTGGCTCCAGGGCATTTTCTGCCAGTACCGCCCCACTGGCCACCTCCTAATTAATTTCCCTTTAATGTGCACGAATCCATGCACCGGGTCAATAGTACAATATAAAAATCCCAGAACAGTAACGACAGCTTTGTGTTCTATTTACTGCAGGCAGACATACTGAGGTCCACCAGATGATCGGGAACTACATGTGGGACTCCAACACCAACAAGTCATTTGATATCGGTGTCAACAAAGACAGCCTGATGCCACTCTGGTGGAATGGGTCAGAACCTCTGTGGGTCACCCTGACCAAAGCCAAGAGGAAGGTCCACATGTACTACTGGCCAGGTGAGTGCGTCCACCCACATCTCAAAACACCGTGGAGTCCCCAAAGACAAAGGATGACATGTGTGAAGTCCGAGCCAGGGCTTGGAAAATGAAATCTTTAGTCAAGAAAGATGGCTTTTGAACGTGTTTGTAAACTTTTGAACTCTCTAACACCAGAGCAAGCACAATGCCATTCCAGATCCCCCTGGTTCAGCAGTGCTACTATAGTCTGTCATGCTTTTTCCTGTGCAAAATCTTAGATACACACAAGAGATAGTTACAGCATGCCTATTTGCCTAGCAAGAGAATCTGGCATACCAATTATTAGGTCTAGTAATAATTAATGTCGTTTTCTAATATTTTAAAATCGAATTTATTTAAACAATACAACAAAATTTAATCAACAATATAGTTGCCGTTGTTTTCTACTACTTGTGCCCAACGCTCAGGAAGCATTTTAATCCCTCTGTTGTAAAATTCTTGTGATTTTGATGCAAAAAATTCGGTCAATGCATTTTTGAGGCATTCTTCATTATTAAATTTTTTTCCAAGAAGAAAGTTTTGCAAAGAACGAAACAAATGGTAATCGGAAGGGGCAATATCAGGAGAATATGCAGGTTGAGGGAGAACTTCCCATTCCAACTGGCACAGTTTTTCAGCAGTGATTCTTGCAGTATGCGGTCGTGCGTTATCGTGGTGAAGAATTACGCCCTTCCGATTAATCAGCGCGGGTTCTTTTTCTCTTAAAGCTTGGGCTAACCTTTCCAATTGGGCACTATACACTGCACTTGGAATGGTTTGGTTAGATGGTAAAAGTTCATAATGAAGAATTCCTTTAAAATTCCACCAAACACACAACATCACTTTTTTCGCATGCAAGTCAGGTTTTGGCGTGGGCTGCGGAGCCTCATTTTTGTCCAACCATTGAGGCCGCCTTTTCAAATGAACGTACAGCACCCATTTTTCATCTCCGCTAACAATTTGCTCTAAAAACGGCAAACGGTTTTGACGAGAGAGGAGCGAACTGCAAATTGTGACTCTTTGATTACGGTTGTTGTCGGTCAACTCATGAGGAACCCATTTTCCAAACTTTTGGACTTTGCCAAGTGCACGCAATTGATTGGAAATTGTTTTTTTGTGAACAATTTAAAGTTGTCGCAAGCTCTTGTTGGGTAATTTGAGGATTTTGCACCAAAAGAGCTTGAAGAGCTTCTGGATCAAAATTGGACACACGGCCTCGACCACTCTTGTCATCTAACGAAAAATTTCCCTCGCGAAATTTCTCAAACCAACGCTGGCATTTTCTGGCGCTAACTGCATCTTGACCAAGAGCACTACAGATGTTTTTTGCAGCCTCACTTGCTTTTCTTCCTAATTGCAACTCGTAAAGCATGCAGTGCCGAATATGCTCTTCATCCGCCATCTTCTTAGCCCTAGTTTTGCAACAAAAACCAAACCAAACACAAACTTTTTCAAGCAAAACTTGTTAATTGCACTTCACACATTCTGTAGATACCACGTGTTTGAAGGTTATGTCAATACAAGTCAACGCCAAGCAAGATTTTAAACGAATGTTTAAAAACGACATTAATTATTACTAGACCCAATATTTAGATTTGGAGCTCCTCTACTGCGTTGAAAAGATGATTCAGAATACTTGGTGGAGCCCCTCAAAATAATATTCAATGAAAAATGAAATTACTTCATTTACTGCAATGAGGTGAGCAAGCACGCCAGCTGCCCTGGCTGCTCTGAAGGCATCTTTAGGACACTCTTGTCTCACAGGGGAGAATAGCTCATTAAGGATGAGAGGACTCAGTGGTAATGAAACAACCAACTTCGCATTGTCTTCCCACTGGAGGGATTTGTTCTCGGGTAAGGGTGCAACTTGACTTTTCCGTGGACATGGCTATAGACACTTTCTCCTTAATTCTGATTGCCATGTGGAAGAGTGTCTCAGGGAAGGCCTAGAAGAAATGAAGGGACAGATAGGGAGAAGCGGCTGAGGGTGTCTCATTGGCTTGGGTTGGAGGGCAGCAGCGGCCTGATAGAATGATGAGAGCATGCTGGGTTGTGGGGGACGGTGGATGAGAATGGGGCGAAGGATGAGTAAGCCAAGGCTGAATCATAGATGGCCCGCACTGAGGGCGTGGCCTTCAGCAGGAGTTTGGAAGATGCTGGATGGAGAGCTGCTCTCTCAGGGCACTCCAGACTACAACTGCTCTCAGGAGCATAGAACACAAACAGATAGAGCCATGCTGTGGCGAGGGCCCGGGAAGTGCCACAGAGCAGAGCCTGGCATGTTCAGAGGAGCTGTGAAGGCAGGAGCAGGCTGCCTTCATCCAAAACTGGGCAGAAGAGCAGGCAGACACAGGCTGGTCTGCGGGCAGATGCAGTTTCAGAGGGAATGCTAGAGTTTCCCCAGAAGACACCTGGGATAGTGTCCATCGCAGACACCTTGGCTGGGATGGTAAGAAGCTTTTTGGGCAAGGGAGGGGCTTCAGAGAGCTCCATTACCTTTAAAGGAGACTCTAGCTTTTGCACGAAGTTAGATTGAGATCAAGGAGACAAGACAGTGCATCAGCCAAGCTGATCAGACTTGCGGGAGGAGCCAAGCTCATGGTTCAGCCCAATGCCGGGAGGTCTGAAGCCAAAAGCTTGAGCTGCAGTTTGAGGTCATTCTCAGAAATCATTATTTAAAACAAACAAACAACAAAAAAACCCACAAACCAACAAGGTCCACATGCAGACACAAGAGTGTGCGGGTTGGGTGCGCCGCACTCAGACCACCTTAAAACACACCTGAGGGCCCTCAAGGCAAGCACTGCCCACGGGATCTGGTTAACCCAACATCTAGGTTTTGGAACCCTAGCTCTTCCTGAGCAGTCACAGAGCATCATTTTTTTTATATATATATATATTTTATTGATTTCAGAGAGGGAAGGAGAGGGAGAGATAGAAACACCGAAGATGAGAGAATTATTGATTGGCTGCCTCCTGCATGCCCCCTACTGGGGCTCAAGCCCACAACTTGGATATGTGCCCTTGACTGGAATTCAACACCTGGGACCTTTCAGTCCGCAGGCCGACACTCTATCCACTGAGCCAAACCAGCTAGGGCCTCAGAGCACCATTCTTGATCTCATGATGGAGAATCTGGCTCCTTCATTATAATAAACAACTTGAACTCCTATATCACTGAGTATCTGTAAAAAAAACAAACCTCAAAGCTAATTTGCATATAAAATATCTCTTTGCCCCTCCAAAACAGCTCCTCAGGGGCCACGTTCACAGTTTAATAGCTAACATGGTGCGCTGCCTTAAGATCAGCTTAGGGTGCTCACTACCACGAGGAAAGCAGCTAAAAGAATAGCCTCCTGGCATTTCCCCAGTGACCTGCAAGAGGATTCGCTAAAGATCTAGCCTTGGTGACTTGATGGAAATTTCTTGATAGAAATGGATGAAAAGTCTGGTTTCCTACACACCATCCAGTCCCACTGAACTGGAGACACAGATAGTGGCCGCCCAGCCTGCCGGGATGGCCCGGTACTCTGGCTGACAGCTGAGGGATGGGGGTCACTGCTCTCCTCTCTCCCTGGGTCCCCTCCAGCCACAGCTAATAGCCCGGCAAGTGTCCATTTGTCTCAGGAAGATGAAGCGAAGGGCGGTGGCGTTTCTTCTAAACACGGCTGGATTTTGTTTTCCTTCTCGAATCCTCCTCTTCCTTCCCCAGTCCCACAGGACATTGCACAGGCCCCTCGACGAGGCCTGGAAAATCTTCATTGCTCCAGTGAGCTGTGTTATGACACTTTGAGTCTCGCCATTAAGTCAATATTTAGAAGAGCAATTTAGAAATGGCAGGAGTTCAAGTCTTCCTGTCAGGTAGATAAAGCAGCAGACTGAAAAATTGATCAGTGGGGAGGAGTCCAAAACACCTCACTTCCAGTCCTGAGAAAGAGAATATTGTAAGCAGACCTTTTATTCCCACACCCAATGGTGCCATGGAGCCATGCAAGGAGCAACAGGACTTGGGACACGATTCCAAGCCCACGGTGGAATATTTCTTTGGGAAGGCATGAATAGGACTTAGTAATGTTTTGCAAAGGATAAGAATTGATTTCATTTTTATAATTTTTAATATATTTCAGAGAGAAAAGGAGAGGGAGAGAGAGATAGAAACATCAATGATGAGAGAGAATCATTGACCAGCTGCCTCCTGCACAACCCACACTGGACCCATTTAGCAACTTCCTCACTGGGGACAGTCACTTACCTTACCTGTCCTCCAGTTTCATTGTTTGCCCGACAGTGATGACCATATGTACCCCGCAAGCTTGCTGGGCATGTGAAATGAGACGAGCGATGTAGAGTATTTGACCAGAGTAGGTGCTCAATCCATCCTCTGCCCCCAGATTCCAGAACGAGAGCTTAGCCTATGTCCGTTTTCATGAGACATGGAAAAGAGCTCCCACCCAGCTCACCCCTAGCCCCAAAGAAAAATGTTTGAATTCACACCAGGAATTCAAATCTGCCCTTCAGCAAAGAGCGCAGAGGGATGCAAGCCTTGTTTTAACTGGCCAGGAAGATTCAGGGCAGGTAAGGGACAGAAAAGGGGCGGGCAGCTGGAGCTGGCCACTTGGTCACTGGAGAAGAAAAGGAGGACAAAGTCTGGCTTTTTCACGCACAGGACACGTCATACCCATGACCACACGCAGAGGTGCACTCGGCACCAGGCAGGGTGGGCACTGGACTGGCCTCTGGCGATTGGCCTAAGGGTGGCAGAGAAGTGAGGTTGCCAGGCCACACACACAGCACTCGCTCCTGGCCCCAGTGTTCCTGGAAGTAACCCAGAACCACCTCACAGGTCAGGGTCCAAGGTCCCCTCAGACACATGGGGAAAGGACCATTTGTCCGACTTGGGGATCACAGGCTCAGATTTAAGGGGCTGGGCATGGGGAGTCCCTGGACAGGTGCCAGTGCTCAGCAAAGTACCTGTTCTGGGAAGGAGGCTTTGGCTGAGA